TTTTCTATGATATTGCATCTGTACTGATTCATAAGGTCGACATCCTTGCGTACGTTATCTGATTATTTTACTTGCTTTCATATTATACATTATTTTACTACCTTCCTAATTATACCGCTACTTTTTGACTTTATGGCACTCATTCGATTGCTCTCTCTGATCGTTTTCCAAATAGCAATACCCTGCCTCACTTCACTGTTCCGCTCGAAGCCGCCAATGTAATCACTAATCATCTTGCAAACTGCCTACACATTAGCATGCTGGACCGACCGGCCTCGGAGGTGACGTGACCTTTCAATGTTTTCGTTCTGCCAAATCCACGCAAAACCAATTAAATATTAACTGTCATAAAATTATAGTGACGGCTTCCAAATTTATCCCGCACATGGATATGATAAAAACGGCGTTTCTTAAAAAATGCCCCTGATCAACAGGCAACAGAAAACCAAGCACTGCACCACTCTGAGCACTGCACAACTCTGAGCACTGCACCGTTCAGATCAAAGTAATTAATTGTAGCAAACCGTATCAAACAGCGCCGAATTCGTGGCAGTCACTTTTACGCAAGAATTCAGTTCCATCCAGCAAAACACGCAGTGCTTCTTCTACACAGTTCTGTAACCACCTGCTAGCGCGCTACCGTTGAAATGCTCCACAAAAGCCACCAGCGCATTGCAGATCGAAAGCGGTAACTAATTCTGACAGAAGAAAATTAGATGCTGCATTTGAGACAATGCCCATCTGCAGACCTATCGCCAGGAAAGCTGGCATCGCGTTATTTTATCGCATTGGGCGAATCTGGTAACGGTTGCAATGAAGGGAGATTACCTCGGTGGTGGATGTAGCAGAGTGACGCTGTGGAACGACGAGCGACTGGCATAATTTGCCTTGGAAAGTGCTCCATGCCGCCATAAAGAAACCGTCGTGAGTCCTGGGAAACGGTCAACGTTCGTTCAGCTTCGTGTGCCAATGTCCATACTCTTCATCCGTCCTGCAGCGGTACTATGTAACCAACATGTAAATAAGTTAACTATTAAAACTTATTTACATGCACAAAACTGTACCGACATTTCTTTTCGGCGATTGCTTGGTTAATCCGGCTCTCCGGTACGGGCCAACCTCTTTGCTTCGCTCCCCAGCGCCAGTAATGTCATTCCAACCACAGAAAATTACATCGCCTCATTAGCTCGTCGCAGGTTTCCGTTAAAACTGACAGCTAGCTGCCACCGATCAGGACGAAGGTACTTAATAAAGACATGTGGATCGCGTTTTTTACTGCTTGCTTCGTTAGACGTTGCTATTATTATGACGCTTTCTCGAATAGTGCAAAACAATGCAACACAGTGAGTGGTACGACTTATTCTTTATAGTTTGGTAACGTCTGGGGTCGGTAATTTTTCGGCGCTTCCCGCCGCTTAAAAACACCGCATACAGAGTAGTTCGTATGCTCCTGCGGCAAACCGATTGCAAATTAAAACCTTGATAAGGCTATCGGGCAAAAATCTGCGTTGGCTAGCATATCCTCCGTCGATAAACGATGTGTACATAAGCAGGGAACAAATTAACAGCCAATACAAGAGCACTGTCATTTGCTTAACAACTTGTGCACTATACAGTCTGCAAACGGACATCCAAAAGCATCGTATAAAGCCTGATGCGAGTCCGCGTCTGTGGTACACGCACAAGCCATCGGTGTTAAGTACATCGAGATAAACGGTGTTGTAACCTGTTTACTCTTACTCTGGGAGATGGAATCGGGAAGCTTTTGTGATCCGGCATTCATCGCGGGCACACCGACTATTAGCTTATCTGGTTGACAGACAACTTGGCTACTACATAGTACGAGTACTACCATTTGCCAAAGAATAATTATGCCAGTTGGGACTACGATTTTTTATTTAACCGCAAAAAAAATGAAAGGGACAGCTACGCGGATTTTAGAAACTCAAGAAACGAAGCATTTAACATGGAGTATGGGCAGGAAACACGAATCAACACATAAACATTAACAGCAATGTCTCGTCTTCAAGTACTTCAAGTACTTCAAGACATGAACAATAACAAACCCGGATGTGGAATGACATAAAAACAGAAAGATAATACAAATATCACAAATCCATGTTGCTACAGCCGAAGTACGACAAACAAATACGAAGGTCATGTTTCTTTCTTTACTTTGCCCCCAAGTATGAAGGTCACTTAGCACGACATTAAAGGCAACGTTATTGATCAGAACCAGATGTTTTAAAAATAGTATAACTCTACCAGAAATATTTCCGGTTGACCTTGCACCCCGCATTGCGGCGATATCTCAGCTGTCCTACTGCCAGAGGACGACGGCGGTTTAATTACTGCAAAGTACATATTTCAATGTAACATGCAATCTTTGCCGTTTTGGGCAGCTTTGGCAAATGATAATGTTTAAATGATTCGCTGGACCGAACGGCGGAAGGGCCCTCCATTGGCCAAATCTTGATTCATACAGTTTATGAATCAAAATTTGGCCAACGAGATAATCTTCCATGTCTCGCTGTTAAATTTTCCAGATTCTTACCTTTAATCGCTGGTACTTTGCCGGCTTTGACAAGCTGCCCTGCCTCGACTTGATCTGCAGTGGTATTTTTTATTTCATAAAATTCCAGTATAAAACAGATCAAAAATAGTTCATCACAATTCAAAGCAACAAAATCTCGTTTAATGCTGCCGAACCTTCCATTGTTCCGAGTACACAAGCGGCGTTGCCGCGTTGAATTTCGAGCGATAATCGCTGGCCAAAGAACTCATGGGAACGAGGTTCACCTGTCTGCAGCTGGAGTCGCTTGCCGATTTCTTTTACTAAAGCGTTGGCCGACTTTCCCTACGGTCCGAGAGTTTCGAAGGCTAATGGTGCGAAGATTTATCTTCCAACCAGATACAAATACAGTCGCACCATTTCATCATCGGCCTGCGCTGCGGCGGATCCAGCGCAGGCCGATGATAAAATGGTGCCGTCAGCTGAAATCCACGTCAGCTACAGCTGACGTGGTTTTCAAGTGGGACGCGGCGACGGTATCGACGCGGGTGACGTCCCACGCCACGCACATACCGCGTTTCCAACCGACCAGGATGTGCACCCATCTGGACGACGATCCGACGTGTGGGATGTTCCCCGCGGCTCCAGTTTAGCAGGTATGCCGGCTGACACCAAAGCTCTACAGGCGATACTGTTCAGGCCGCCATGACGCGGGTGTCTTCCAGCAGTACTAGAGCGTTTCATATAAAGCTCCGCCAGATAAAGTATATTATTGGAGTTTATTTCCAATTTTGTAGCCGTCATCATTTTGTAGTCATCCTGATATACTATGGATGCTTGGCCGGAGGATCGTTTGGAGCAGTATTACATTTACCTCGTTACGATTCTACTACTGGAAAATATGATATTGTCGATTCGGTTCCCGCGCCGCATCGGTGCGCTGCAGGTTTTGGGTCGCAGATATAGCCCCACATCACATAATTCCAGACTTACAAATCCAGTTTTCCGAATTCAATTCTGGCGACAATTTGTCGCCGGAAATCCATTGGAAAAATTGGACTTGGAAGTGTAATAATGCCGTTGTACGGGTAACTGTCGCAACGAACACGATCGATAAAACAGTAATCCCTGTCAGATTCATTCTGACAGTAATCCGGAAGCAGGCATCGACGGGTACAACATTCTGACAGAATGCTGTTCCCGTTGTCAGAATGTTGTACACGTCAGTCCTTGCTTCCGGACAGATACAATGTCAAATCTAATGTAAACATACGTTGCAATTCTCTCTGTAAAACCACTTGTCAAAGGACTACCGGAAACAGAGCACGTCAATTCTCGCAGATGAAGGAGTCATCGAAAAATTCGCTTAGACCACTGCAATAAATTACATACATTTAATTTATTGCACTGTAGCGATTTAACATTAATTTTGCTAACCGAAGGTGTTGAATCTTGCGAACCTTCGCAGGATGTTGTCGGAAGGATTCCTTTTCGTAGCTCACAACATTTAAAGACAACGAACTTTACTAACTAATGATCGCAAATTTCTCTTCCGGATTAATATCAAAATAATGTGCTGTTCTTGTTTCTTGCTAAAAACTGACATGATTTTTGAATTTACGATTGAAATTTAATGCCGCCGATGATGTCAAGGACATCGTGCATCATTGTGAGTGTGGCGTGACATAAGACCATTTCCAAGGGATGTTATTCCGATACAGTATTTTTTTAATATGGAGTAAGTAATCTGCAGAGTTGAAGACAATTTCAGCCGGGTTTACATTCAAAGCTTCACCAAAACTTGTAGTCGGCAGTAAGACAGCCCTGAAAATTCCAGCGCATCGTATCTGGCACATATTTTAATTCGACCGTAAAAGTTCAGTTAGTTTTCCTGTAAATGCATTTTTCAAAAAGGAAAGCGACAGAATTAGTAAACTAATTGCCAACATGCGAGTACATTACTACAGTTACGGCAAGCAATGGTTACATTTATAAAAAAAGCACTTCTGCTATATTTCCGTGTCCGGCAAGGTAGTCATTGGTCATAAAACCGTTTTTATATTTAATCTGGCAAACGCTTCCAAAAAGGCCGAACATAGTTGGCCAGTGGAAGCGATGTTCAAGGCTATCAGCATTTTCAGGCAAATTTTGAAGAGGACTGATGCATATGAGGCTTTTGGTGTACGCCTGTGCGTTTGAAAGTTTGCAGTTTTATTCCATCAATAACTCCTCAACCGAATGTTTCGTGTACAAGCGTGTACAAGCGTTGTACTCACAGATTATTTGCCCAAAAAATATCGCAAATTCGTAATCGAGCACAAAAGTGAGAGACCTTTAGTCTGGAATGGTAAAGCAAGCAATAACTCGCAAAATATTTCAAGCAAGCTAATAACTGCGTTTTCGTTATCCGCGAAGTTAGTGACGAGCCAACCGCTGTTTTAAAATTGATTCACGAGATAACTCATTTTGTGAAGTTTCGGATAGTATCCTAATTGTCGCTGCGCAAGCTGCCGATCCACACCAGTGGATCAAAGATCATCTGCAGCGAATACAGCGTGGTCACGATGGTTAAGACGATGGTGGGCAAACCAATGTGGAGGAACAAACCCATGAAGAAGAACACCTGTATCGGCGCCCAGCAGACCACCACACTGATCGTCGTCAGCGTTAAGACGACGAAGGGTTTAACGGTTTTCTTCGGGGGCGACGGCTGTGCAGCGGTGGGTTGTGGATTCTGCTTGGAACTTTTCTTCCTAGCCGGCAACTTCTTTAAGCTAATCGGTATGCTGCGGCGACGTGAATGTCTCTTTAGCCACAGTTTAACAATAATGAACGCATACGCTACCATGACAATCAGCATCGGGAGCAGACGATTGATAATGTCATCGGCTTTATTAAAATCCAGGAAGTTGGGAGAAATATGCCCGCAATCCTGGTACTTGGCGTAGATGGCCGGATAATGCAGCAGCTGATCGACCAAAAATGGCGGCAAATTTAACAGATGGACGTAGACAACGACGCCAATACAGATGAACACGGCCAGGCGTTTAGTGTGGCGCTCGCGGTAGGAGATGGGAAAGGTCACGGCCCATACCTGTTAACGGTAAAATTATATGGCCCACGCAGTGCTTTTATTAGATAATTAGAGTAGCTAAGTTCTTAATGGCAGCGCATTAGCTAGTAAATTAGTAACATCAGGCAATGCAATAACGTCCTTAGCGCTAGTTGCGTATGATTCATCTTTGTATGCTTATTTTCTACTGACATACGGTCACATACCCCATTTTTTAATACCGCTCTAATTGCTTATATCATATTTTTCTGCGCTTATTATTACGCTGATGCTCCCTGGCGTCGCCTAATGTTAATTAAAGCATGAAGTTTTAAAACAGCGATTAAAAAACCGCGATCTTCTCATTAATTTGAGTTTTTAGTCGATCAAGGTCATTCTCCATCAGTCGGTATTGTTGCGAGCAGTTAGACAAAATCACTTGTAGTCGTTACACACCCGGTTGAGGGAGATAAGGACGTGCAGCAAGACCGGAATGACGCTGCTGACTTTGTTGTACATGAACAGAAAGCAGACGGGATAACCGGCCGCCGGGTAAATTCCGTACAGTTCGTCCAGGACTGCGATGGGGCGCGAAAGGAGAATGTAGAAGAGGTTGGAAAGGAACAGCGCCAGCAGGTACACGCTGAAGGGGTCGATGTACGCCGGGATGAAGCAGTGGACGAGAAGGACGGCGGTGTTAAAAAACAGCGACAAGATGGATATAATCAGTTTCACTATAAGCAGCGGTGTCCATCCCGTGGCGGCACGACGCAGCGTACCGAAGGACGAATCGGAGATGGAGTGGTTGCCTGTGGTGTTCAAGAGCACTGTGACGTTGGAATAATACATTGTTAATAAGGTTAATACATCGTATAAAAATTAAATTTTTGGTGAACCTGTGGAGTAGAGGATTCTACTGTTCGAACAGCGGGAATCTACACTCAGATAACATGGATCGGGAATTTGGACTGCTTGAATGGAAAAATTCACGGTCGATAGGAAACCGCTGACATGCTTAGAACGCAATATGGTGTTTTGAATAATTTTCAGCGAAATTGGTTTCATAAAGATGGAGCTATTAAAGGAGCCTATTTCCGTTTGGTTTCATGTTATGAACGTCCAGTTATTTTTCTCACTGAAATGAGGACAGCTCATATTGCATCTTTCATTTAGTAATCTGATTAGATATATTGTTACGAAGGCGTCACAGCGAGACGCCCAGCAAGACAGCAGCGAGCGCACTTTGCATTCACAGGCAACTATTAACTGGAAGCAGTTTTTTAATAATTCTTAATGAGTACTGGATTTGTATAAATCGCATAAAATAAATTGTCAAGCAGTACTCTTATACCATCTGTCTCTGCGAGAATAACTCATCTTTTGACCGTAATTTGCGAGCGGATATCCGGAGAATGTAGTGCCTCGGAAAGGACTTCCGGTGGCATATGATATGCACTCTGAACAGAAATGCACAAATCAAGGGATACGGTTTCCGTAAAAACGCACAGCTGATGTGTAATATGTACAATGCATTAGCATTACTTTAGACCTGGCAATTTTCAACACGCGCCATGAAATTGACTGCAACAACCAAACATATTACGGGCTGTTTAACGATTTTGCTAGTGGCTGCCTTTATTCTTCTTTTTATCATACAGGCTCGCTGCAGGATTTTATATTTTCATAATATATTTTGCTAATGTTTTTTGCCTTTTATTACATAGTTGTAAAAAGTTTCCAAGGTTGCTTATCTGAGCATTTGCAAGTGTTTTTTCTTCACTAATATCTGACAAATCAGCGCAAAAGACTTCTCCAAATACGAAAAGACATATATGATACAACGAAATAATGCAATGCATCTGCAGGTAAATTGAGGTAATGCAAAACAAGAACCAATGTGAAGTGCAAGCTCTTAATGCTGTTATGATGGACCACAAGTTCTCTTGTGGGTGACATTCGCTGCGCTACGTGGATCCTCACCTCACCGTAATGTCTCGAACCTCCAGTTTTTTCTTAAGCCTTCGCGGAAACAATATCTTTCCTTTCTCTTTCTGAAAATGCGACTTTTACGGGAAAGGATACCGTATGCGAAGGTTCGGTACGGACACTACTCTACTGTGGTTGATAAAAAGTTGTTACCGTAAGTCACTGTTTACGTATTCGTATGGGTAGCAGTAAGAACGGGGCGCACAGCAATTAGCAAATTAAATATGCGCATACCGCTTCAAGGCACACATAAGTCATATCTGAAATATTAGCAAAGCATATAAAGTGAGCAGGAAATAATCAAACCCATTGATGCACGTACGTATTTTAATCTACAGTTATATACGTAGCATTCGAGCAATTAAATGATAATGTTTCTAAATCTCAATTTTGTGTTTGGCTGGTGCAGTTGCATCAAATAAAACGTGGAATGCCATTGCCTTTTGTCCGTGCACGAACATTTCGTAATTTTTTCGCCAAAACAGGTTGGTGCTGCCATCGCTACGAGACGTAACAGATTAACACCAGGGACGATGGGTGGCAGTTGCTTTTGAAACGGTGCTTCGGCGAAAACATTTCGGAGAATACACCAGCCACCGAAGACGGCTTCATGTTAAGTTTGCGCGATCCCTGCAAGAGCTGAAAAAAGCCCTTCTTTAGGTGATCTCACACGGAAGCTGGGATACGACACCGCTTTTACAAACATCATAGTTCTAAGCGGTAGTGCCAACATGACGGCGATTACCAAGTTTAGTTTGCACAAGATAGTAAAGGGCAGTTCTCAGGACCGCTTCTTCCCACTGGGGCAACGCGTTTGCCTGGAAATTATATGCGCGTGGCAGCCTTAAAAAAACTTGAAAGCTTGCCATCACCCGCAGCCAGCCCGATAACCCTGATGCCATTTTCCGTACCTTACAAGGCTATAAGCTATTATAATAACTGATCTTCTAAGAGTACTTGCAATGATTCCTGCCACGTATAAAAGCTTTCATCGGCGCAGAACACATTTGTAACAGTCCAAAACGACCGGTCGTTTCAGCCTCTAAACCGTCCAAAACGACCGCCGTAAATTTTGCCCTACAAGTTTTTTTTGCTCTTGCAGTCGCAAACAAAACGAACGAATGTAAATTCGTATCCGGTCGTTTCTGCCTGAGTGTAAGGACTATTCTGCCAGAGTGAAATTTCGTGTCCGGTCGTTTCTGCCGGCGCGTAATTTCGTATCCGGTCGCTTCTGCCGGAGAGTAATTTCGTGTCCGGTCGTTTCTGCCGGAGTGTAATTTCGTGTCCGGTCGTTTCTGCCAGGTGTAAGGACGATTCTGCCAGAGTGAAATTTCGTGTCCGGTCGTTTCTGCCGGCGTAATTTCGTATATCCGTCGCTTCTGCCGGAGAGTAATTTCGTGTCCGGTCGTTTCTGCCGGAGTGTAATTTCGTGTCCGGTCGTTTCTGCCGGAGTGTAAGGACGATTCTGCCAGAGTGAAATTTCGTGTCCGGTCGTTTCTGCCGGCGCGTAATTTCGTATCCAATCGCTTCTGCCGGAGAGTAATTTCGTGTCCGGTCGTTTCTGCCGGAGTGTAATTTCGTGTCCGGTCGTTTTACCTGAGTGTAAGGACGATTCTGCCAGAGTGAAATTTCGTGTCCGGTCGTTTCTGCCGGCGCGTAATTTCGTATCCGGTCGCTTCTGCCGGAGAGTAATTTCGTGTCCGGTCGTTTCTGCCGCAGTGTAATTTCGTGTCCGGTCGTTTCTGCCGGAGTAAGGACGATTCTGCCAGAGTGAAATTTCGTGTCCGGTCGTTTCTGCCGGCGCGTAATTTCGTATCCGGTCGCTTCTGCCGGAGAGTAATTTCGTGTCCGGTCGTTTCTGCCGCAGTGTAATTTCGTGTCCGGTCGTTTCTGCCGGAGTGTAAGGACGATTCTGCCAGAGCGAAATTTCGTGTCCGGTCGTTTCTGCCGGAGTGTAAGGACGATTCTGCCAGAGTGAAATTTCGTGTCCGGTCGTTTCTGCCGGCGCGTAATTTCGTATCCGTCGCTTCTGCCGGAGAGTAATTTCGTGTCCGGTCGTTTCTGCCGGAGTGTAATTTCGTGTCCGGTCGTTTTTTGCCTGAGTAAGGACGATTCTGCCAGAGTGAAATTTCGTGTCCGGTCGTTTCTGCCGGCGCGTAATTTCGTATCCGGTCGCTTCTGCCGGAGAGTAATTTCGTGTCCGGTCGTTTCTGCCGCAGTGTAATTTCGTGTCCGGTCGTTTCTGCCGGAGTGTAAGGACGATTCTGCCAGAGTGAAATTTCGTGTCCGGTCGTTTCTGCCGGCGCGTAATTTCGTATCCGGTCGCTTCTGCCGGAGAGTAATTTCGTGTCCGGTCGTTTCTGCCGGAGTGTAATTTCGTGTCCGGTCGTTTCTGCCGGAGTGTAAGGACGATTCTGCCAGAGTGAAATTTCGTGTCCGGTCGTTTCTGCCGGCGCGTAATTTCGTATCCGGTCGCTTCTGCCGGAGAGTAATTTCGTGTCCGGTCGTTTTTGCCGGCGCGTAATTTCGTATCCGGTCGCTTCTGCCGGAGAGTAATTTCGTGTCCGGTCGTTTCTGCAGGAGTGTAATTTCGTGTCCGGTCGTTTCTGCCGGAGTGTAAGGACGATTATGCCAGAGTGAAATTTCGTGTCCGGTCGTTTCCGCCGGCGCGTAATTTCGTATCCGGTCGCTTCTGCAGGAGAGTAATTTCGTGTCCGGTCGTTTTGCCTTAGTGTAAAGACGATTCTGCCAGAGTGAAATTTCGTGTCCGGTCGTTTCTGCCGGCGCGTAATTTCGTATCCGGTCGCTTCTGCCGGAGAGTAATTTCGTGTCCGGTCGTTTCTGCCGGTGTGTAATTTCGTGTCCGGTCGTTTCTGCCGGAGTGTAAGGACGATTCTGCCAGAGCGAAATTTCGTGTCCGGTCGTTTGTGCCGGCGCGTAATTTCGTATCCGGTCGCTTCTGCCGGAGAGTAATTTCGTGTCCGGTCGTTTTTGCCTGAGTGTAAGGACGATTCTGCCAGAGTGAAATTTCGTGTCCGGTCGTTTCTGCCGGCGCGTAATTTCGTATCCGGTCGCTTCTGCCGGAGAGTAATTTCGTGTCTGGTCGTTTCTGCCGCAGTGTAATTTCGTGTCCGGTCGTTTCTGCCGGAGTGTAAGGACGATTCTGCCAGAGTGAAATTTCGTGTCCGGTCGTTTCTGCCGGCGCGTAATTTCGTATCCGGTCGCTTCTGCCGGAGAGTAATTTCGTGTCCGGTCGTTTTTGCCTGAGTGTAAGGACGATTCTGCCAGAGTGAAATTTCGTGTCCGGTCGCTTCTGCCGGCGCGTAATTTCGTATCCGGTCGCTTCTGCCGGAGAGTAATTTCGTGTCCGGTCGTTTCTGCCGGAGTGTAATTTCGTGTCCGGTCGTTTCTGCCGGAGTGTAAGGACGATTCTGCCAGAGCGAAATTTCGTGTCCGGTCGTTTCTGCCGGAGTGTAAGGACGATTCTGCCAGAGTGAAATTTCGTGTCCGGTCGTTTCTGCCGGCGCGTAATTTCGTATCCGGTCGCTTCTGCCGGAGCGTAATTTCGTGTCCGGTCGTTTCTGCCGGAGTGTAATTTCGTGTCCGGTCGTTTCTGCCGGAGTGTAAGGACGATTCTGCCAGAGTGAAATTTCGTGTCCAGTCGTTTCTACCGGCGCGTAAATTCGTATCCGGTCGCTTCTGCCGCAGTGTAATTTCGTGTCCGGTCGTTTCTGCGTGAGTGTAAGGACGATTCTGCCAGAGTGAAATTTCGTGTCCGGTCGTTTCTGCCGGCGCGTAGTTTCGTATCCGGTCGCTTCTGCCGGAGAGTAATTTCGTGTCCGGTCGTTTTTGCCTGAGTGTAA